CGATTTTATTTACTCTTTCAAAGAACCAACTTTTTGATTTGTTGATTCTTTGGATTGTTTTCTTAGTCTCTATTGCATCGATTTCTGGTCTGATTTTTATAATTTCCTCTCTTCTTTTGGCTTTGGGCTTGACTTGCTCTTCTTTTTCTAGCTGTTTGATGTGTAGCATCATATTGTTTATTTGTATTCGTTCTGTTTTCCTGATGTGGGAACTCAGTGCAATAAATTTTCCTATGAGGATGGCTTTCATTGCATCCCACAGATTCTGGTAAGTTGTACCTATATTTTCATTTGTTTGTAGGTATTGCTTAATTTCTTTTTTAATTTCCTCTGTGACCCACTGATTACTCAAGAGTGTGTTATTCAGTTTCCATGTGTTTGTGGGATTTTTGCAGTATCTTTTATCGTTAATTACTAATTTCATAGCGCTATGGTCCGATAGCATGCAAGGGATAATTTCAACTCTTTTGCATTTATTTAAATATGTTCTGTGAGTTAATATATGGTCTGTTTTAGAGAATGACCCATGTACTGCTGAGAAGAATGTGTATTCTGTTGTTGTTGTGTGGAATACTCTGTATATGTCTATTAAGTCCATTTGTTCACAGGTGCAATTCAGTTCTTTTATTTCTTTGTTGATTTTTTGTTTGGTTGATCTGTCCATTGTGTCAATGGTGTGTTAAGATCTCCTGTTAGAATTGTGTTACTGCTGATTTGGTTTTTCATTTCTGTTAGTACTTGTTTTATATAACTGGGTGCTCTGGAGTTTGGTGCATATATATTTAAGATAGTTATCTCTTCCTCTTGGAGTTTTCCCCTAAAGAGTATGTAGTGACCTTCTTTGTTCTTTATGGTCATTGTTGGTTTAAAGTTCATGTTGTCTGCAAACAGAATGGCTACTCCTGCTTTTTTTTTTTTTTGGATTCCTGCTGCATGAAGTATTGTTTTCCATTCTTTGACTTTCAGTCTGTGAGTATCCTTCTGGGTTAGATGGGTTTCCTGTAAAAAGCATATGGTTGGATTTTGTTTCTTGATCCATTCTGCTAGTCTGATTCTTTTGATTGGTGCATTGAGACCATTTACATTAATGGTTATAACTGTTAAATGCTGGTTTTACTGTTACGTCTCTGCTGTTGCATCTTTATCTTTCTGTTCTGTTTAATTATCTGCTTTGCTTAGTGGTTTTTTCCTTTGTGTATCTAAACTGTCTTTCAATATTTTTTGCAGGGTTGGCTTGGTGTTCATGAAGTTTTTCAGCTGTTCTTTGTCATGGAAGTATCGTATTTCACCATCAATTTTGAATGATAGTTTTGCAGGATACATCAGTCTAGGTTGGAAATCATTTTGCTTTAGGATCTGGAATACTTCACTCCATGCTCTTCTTGACTTTATTGTTTGTGCTGAGAAGTCTGCTGTGATTCTGATAGGTTTTACTTTATAGGTCATCTGTCTTTTCTCTCTGACAGCCTTTAATATTCTATTCTTTCGTTCGATTTCTGGGATGGTCATTATTATATGTCTGGGTGTAGATTTATTTTGGTTATGACTATTTGGAGTTCTATATGCTTCATTGATCTTGATATCAGTTTCCAATCTCATGTTTGGAAAATTTTCAGCTATTACTTCTCTAAGTATCCTCTTGACATCCTTTATGTTGTCCCCTTCTTTTTCGTTTTTATGTTGTTCCCTTCTTTTTTGTTTATCCCTATCAACCTTACGTTGTTTCTCTTTGCGTCATCCTGTAGGTGTTGAATTGTTATTTCCTGATTTCTTGTTATTTTTAAAAGATCTTTTCTTTCCTGTTCAATGGCTGCAATCTTGTCTTCGAGGTCTGAGATTCTATCTTCACATTCATTGAGGTGGTTTTTACAACTTTCAATGGAGTTTTTCATTTCCTGTATATCTCTTTGCATCTGTTTTATGTATTCTGTTTGTTTCTTATATTGTTCATCCAGGGATTCTATCCTTTTGTTTAGTTCTTCCAATTTTTTAATTGCATCTTCTTTAGCTGTGTTTAGCATCAGTTTCATTTCTTTTATCATTTCTTCTTTTATCTGAGAGATTATTTCTAGTTTGAATTCCTTTAAGGCTTCCCATACTTGCTTCTTTATTTCAGTTACCATTATTTCAGGTATTTTAGTTATATGGCATGTGTTTTCTTCTATGCACATGGCTCCTAGGCTTTCTTGGGATGGGCTGGATGTTTGAGATTGCATTTTGGTCTTTCGTTTTGTCATTTTCTGTATTTTGGAACTTCAAGTGTTGTTCCAGGTGTGGGAGAGTGTTCCGTCAGCTTGGGATGGGGCTCCCTGCGATGGCCCCACTCACTGGATCCAGCAGGGAACCACAGCCTGGTCCCCAGGCCAGTAAGAGTGTCCCCTCAGGCTGGGCGGGGTTCCCAGCCCCCTTTGCTCCTCTCACAGGTCCTGTAGGTTGGGAGCTGGCCTGGTCCCCAGGTCAGGAAGAAAGTTCCCACATGCTCTGTGGGAATCCCAGCCACCGCTGCTACAGTCACAGATCTGGCAAGGTCCCTGGTCTGGTGGGGAACCGGCCTGGTCCTCAGGTCAGGGAGAAAGTTCCCGCAGGCTGGGCGGAACTCCCAGCCGCCACTGCTACAGTCTCTGATCCCAGCCTGGTCCGGGTCTGGTAGGGAACCGGCCAGGTCCCCAGGTCAGGGAGAAAGTTCCCGCAGGCTGGGCAGGACTCCCAGCCGCTGCTGCTACAGTCTCTGATCCAGCCTGGTCCCGGGTCGTAGGGAACCGGCCAGGTCCCCAGGTCAGGGAGAAAGTTCCCGCAGGCTGGGCAGGACTCCCAGCCGCTGCTGTTACACTCACCAGTCCGGCCTGGTCTCTGGTCTCCTTTCCCAACTTTGGACATCAGGTATTTTGTCTCAGCGACAAGTAAAAAGTAACTAAGACAGTCATATAGGACTTATTTTGCAGTCCCTTATATGACAAAGATAGCAGCCCTACATCATTTTTCTACCTGGTTCTCCTTTATTAGAATATTTCTATTTACTTTTCTCAGGGCCACTATATCCCCTTTTCCTTCCTGAAACAGTCTCCTCATGTTCTGTGTCATTTAATGTTTATAAGTGAATATTTTCAGAGCTATAAGTTCTTCTTAGAATCTTCACATTTCTTTTCCACATAATTTCTACATATCCTATGGATATAAATGTGTTTTCTGACTTGAGGGAAAGGTCTGTTTCAGACCTCAGATTCAAAACTTAATGTAGATACAGATTGATCATCAAATGTCTTTTCAGATGAACTTGAGAGTAATGAAAAATGGATTTATATTTGCCTTTTCTGAAGAAATAAGATTCTGTAATGGACCCATGTTCTCCAAGCTTAATGACTCCCTTGAATTTTGTTTGCCTTAAATCAGCAGACTTCTAAACATTTTAGCTCACTGTTAGTAAAGGTCTTATTCTCACTAGCTGCAAGGCAGAGCACAGAGTAGCTCTAGTGATAGAATTCAGTAGGGCAGTATAAACTCTTCAGTAAACACTTGCTTATATTAGCGTTAGCAAAATCAAGAGGAAAGAACACATATTCTGGAAAAGCCTGTCACACCATTCTTCACATAAGACGATAATGTTTGCAGTTTTTTCTCCAGAGAACTTTGTTTAAGGTACTGGTGATAGACCCACAGCCTTTGCACCAACTTACATCCATAGCCTTCTGTTGTTGTTGTTGTTTTGGGGTTTACTCAATTTTATTAGTGCATATGAATACATAATGAATGCTTTCATCATGGGGAGTTGGTATATGTATGTACTGCATCTTAGTCCTTTTTACTTTCCCTTCTCCTCCTTTTCTTCCATCTCCTTCCTGTCTGCAAAAGATCTACCTCTCTGTTTTCTATCATCTGCCTTTTATTTTGCTCTTTAAATTATTTATACTTCAGATTTCTCACACAAAGATAAACCATGAGACATTTAAACTTCTGTATCTGATTTGTTTCACGTAGCACTGTGGTCTCCAGGTCCATTTATTTTCCTATAAATGACTCAAATTTATCTTTCTTTATGGCTGAGTAATACTCCCTTCTGTGTAAATACTACATTTATCCATTCATGTGTTTGTTGCTATATAGGGCAGTTCCAAGATTTAGCTGTTGAGAGTTGTGCTGTTATAAACATGAAAATGCATGTGTCACTATAACATGTTTTAAGTCTTTTGGGAAGATACACAGAAGTATAACAGGATCAAATGAAATTCCTACTTTTAGTTATTTAAGGAATCTCCATACTGGTATCTTTACATTCCCACCAACATTGTAAAAAGGTTCGTTTTTTTTCCCCCTGAAGCCTTACCAGTATTTATCTTTTGAGTTTGTAGTAATAGCCATTTTTTCTGTAATAAGATGCATCTCAGTATTAGTAATGCTAAACATTTTTCCATGCACTTATTGACAATTTGTACTTCTGAGTTTTTATTCATTTCAGTTGCTCATTTTTTGATTGGGTCTTTTATTTGGAAGGTCTAAATTTTTTGAGTTCTTTATATATTCTAGGCAGTAGTTTTCTGCCTGAGGAATAGCTGATAATTTTTTCCCATTTTGTAGCTTATCACTTTACTCTTGGTTGTTTCCTTTGCTATCCTAAAGCTTTTTAATTTGATATCATTCCATTTGTTTATTCTTGGTATTATTTCTTATGAAGTTGGAGTTCTGTTCAGAGTCCATCTATGCCTTTGCCTTCAAGTGTGTTACACCAGAGGTAGCAAACCTATGGCATACATGTTGTTTTTCTTTTAAAATGAAAGATGTTAATGTATAAATTGTTTTTTCTAAACAAAAACCTCCGTGTTCAGGTTTAATGGCAGAGTTGGCACTTTCCAGTAAGTAAGTGGGTTTTAAGTTACAGGTTGGACACTACAGGTCTCTAAAAGATTTGCCATTACTGATGTTACCTAATTTATCTTCCAACAGATTCAGTGTTTCTGTTTCAATATTTCAGTCATTAATTCAATTTTGATTTTATTTTAATACAGGGTGAGATATATGGATCTGGATTCGGTCTTTATGTTGATAGCCAGTTTCCCCAGTATTATTTGTGGGTAAGCCTGTCTTATCACCAACATCTATTTTTTGTTCTTTTGTCAAAGATAAAATAACTGAATGTCCCTAGGGTTATTTCTGAATCCTCAATTCAGTTCCACTGATTTTCATGCTGTTTCTCTTGCTTCTGTCTTGTTGCCTATTATTAGTTTATTCAGATTTTTCCATCTTCTTGATTCACTTGTGGTATTTCATATGTCTAGGAATGTCTCCATTTCATCTACATTCTTCAATTTATTGGAATACTGTGTAAGGTTTTGAAGTAGTTTCATATAATCCTCTGGCTTTCAACCAAGTCAACTGTGATTTTTGCTATTTATATATCTCTCTCTTTTTCTCTCTCTCTTGTACATTTGGCTGAGGCTTATCAATCTTGTTTGTATTTTTAAGGAGTCAACTTTGATTCATTGAGCTTTTAGATTTTTGTCTCAATTCTAATTTCCACTTTGATTTTATAATTTCATTCTTTTTATTAATTTCAGGTTTGGATTGCTCGTTTTTCTAGGACCTTAAGACATATCTTTTTTTTTTAATTTAGGTTTCCTCATTCTTTTAATATGTGCCTTCACAGCTCTAAATTTCTCTCTTAAAACTTGCTTTCATTGTGTTCTAATAGGTTTCCATTATCATTTGGTTATAGGATCTTTTCTGTGTTCCATTGGTTATTCAGTAATGTGCTATTTAATCTCCATGTGTTTGTTTGTGTGATTTCTTACACTGTTCCTTTTACTATTCTTTTTATTGTTGATTTCTGACTTAATTCTGTTTGATCTAATATTATGCAGGTAATTATTTCAATTCTTTTGTATTTATTTAGGCATGCTTTATGGCCTAAGATATGATCCATTTTTTAAAAAATTGTATATGTTGCTGAGAAAAGTGTGTGTTCTCTTATTGGATGAAACACTCTATATAGCTATTTGTTGAGTCAGTTTGCTTAATAATGGGGTCTTTATTAAGTCTTGATTTGATTTATCCAAATGTGAGAGTGGGGTAATGAAGTCCTCACGATGATTATGTTAAGTGTTTATCTTTTATGTCCATTAGTTATTGTTTTACAAGGTTAAATGTGCCAACATTTGATGCATAGGCATTTTTCAATGTTATCTCTTCCTGTTGAATTATTCCTTTTACCAGTATGTAGTGTACCAGCATATGTGGTTGCATTTTTGTCTCTTTTGATCAGTTTTGGCTTGACATCTGCTGTATCTGAAAATAAGATAACTATTCCAGCTTGCTTTTGGGCTCTGGTTACATGGAATATCATTCTTCATCCTTTCATTTTTAGGCTATGAGCATCCTTTTGGATTAAGATGTCTCTTGTAGGCAATATATGGTTACATTTTGTTTATCGCTGGAGTCTGCTGGATTGTCTTGTTTGGTGAGTTAATATCACTGACATTGTGAGATGTTATTGTAATATGTTTACTGAATCCTGTCATATATTTGGTGTTTATTCCTTTTTTTTTTCCTTTTAACTACTGTGCTGTCCCACTTAGATGTATACTTTTATTTTTATTTGGTGCTGATGGCCTCCCTATCTTTGTCTAGATTTCTGAAAGTTTTTTCTGTATTGCTGGTTTAGTGGTTATGTATTTATTCAGAATTTCTTTCTCATGGGAAGCCTTTACTTTTCTATAAATTTTGAAGGCTAAATTGTTTTCTTAAAAAATTTCACTCCAGGTTCTCCTGGCTTTAAGATCTGTGCTGAGAGATCTGCTGCACCTCTTTTCCCTAAAAGTAAGGACTAGACAGAAAATAATGAGTCTGGAAAACTAGATATCAAAAATGCCAGCCCAAGCAGCCTGTCCTTCCCATACCTTCCATCACTATCTCTTGCTCAGCAGCTCCTCTGTAAGGTAGCAGGGATAGGCTGATTGGGGTGGGCATTTTTGATGGCTAGTTTTTCAGACTGATTATTTTCTGTCTAGGCCTTTACCTTTGGGGAAACGCAGTAATTCTAATAGCCTTGTCTTTGTATGTAATGTGCTGCTTTTGTCTAACAGCTTTTAGTATTCTCTCCTTTTTGTTTCTAGAATTTTGACTGTTATATGGTGTGGAGAGCTTATTTTCTGGTGATAGTTATTTGAGGTTTTGAATGCCTTTTGTATTTGAATGTTGAATTCCTTTCCTAGATTTGGAAAGGTTTTAGCTTGCATGGTGTCTTATTATTTTTAAATATCACTAAGTTTATGATCTATGCCATCCATTTTGTCTTCAATTTATGATACTATTCCCTCATATCAGTCAAACCTGCTGGCCATGTTTTCTATTGTATTTGTCATGTTCTGTATTTCTGCTTGCTTTTTTCCCCATAATTTCTAATTCTTTACCAAACAGATCATTCATATCTTGTACTATTTTAACTTAGTTTTTTGTTTCTTCTTTAGGCTCACTGAACTTCTTATTAGTAAAATCCATTTTCTGTTTAATACAGTCCTCTTTAACTTCACCAAACATCTTATGAAATTGTTAATGTGGTCCTTCTTTGAGCTCTTCAAACATTTTGATCATTTGATTACTTAGCTCTTTGCTTGTGATTTCCTCTACTTCCATGTCCATGAGATCAGTTAGGTTTTTAGAGGTATCTTGTCTCATATTTTTATTGTTTTTGTGCTGCAAGTTCATGACTAGTTAAGATAGAAAGACTGTCCCTGCTGTGTAGAAGTCTTTAGTTATAGTCTGTCTCCCAGTGATGTGTACTTATGTTTGATTACATTTTGGTGTTTACACTCCACTTCAACCTATTTGGCATAATGTTTGAAGATCTTCTCAGGGTCCAACCTTCTCCTAGGAGCTGGAACTATAGCACTTATGTTTGTGGAGATAGAACCATTTCCCCAGGAGCCACAATTAATGTTCTAGACCACTTCAGTCTTTTCTCTGGGTTGTAGTCAGTTTCTCTGCCTATTTGGAACATTTTAATGGAGATCAGAAATTTAGCATTATTAAGTAGTTTTTCAGCCTTGACCAAAATACAAATTGATCTAGGTATCTTGAGGTCCCTAGAATCTGACTGGCTGCTCGTTTTGCCATCTTCCTTTCCACGTTTTGTATCACATAATCTCACAGAAGTAACAGTTTGTACTGCTTTTGCCTTCTATATTTATCCCATATACCCTTTTTGATGCTGGAGAAGAGGGTGGGTGGACTATACTAGAGAACAGGCTCCAGATAATCCATCTAAGAAAACTCTTTAAGTTGCCCATCACTAGCCATTTCCTTCCTTTCATTTCCTTTGGAGTCAATCAGGTAAACCCAGTACTTCCTAGCAGGGTCATTTAAAAAATCAGCTGTGCTTGACTTTCCTGTACCCCATCATAAGGCTTTTTACCCGGGCGCTTCTTGGAAAAAAATTTTTTTGCAATAAATATCTGATCATGAGAACACCAGAAAAGACTTCCCCTAAAGACTTTGCAGCAAGCAGTGTCTGGTCTGACATTGGAAGCAGAGCCTAAGTTGATGCCCTCCAATCCACTGGCATCTGGGGGGAAGGGAGTTTTAAAGACTGCTTGATCTAAGAAAGGAGTGGAAGCTAGTTGGGGCTGGACCAGCAGGGAGCCCACTGTGGACCATCAGGGGTGTCTTCTAACCCTGGCCCCACATTCTGGGCCTCCCTCAAGGTTGCCTCCTCCTGCTGTGTGCATATTTCTTCCTGTTTCCTGACAGTCTCAAGAGCTGCACTGCCAGTTAGAAGAACTGCTCATATTTCAGTCCCTTAGAATCTTGTTAGCTCTTTCATTTCCTTTCCTATTTACTTGTGATGGTAAAACTTACATTCCTTTACATTTTCTGAGTCTGGATTATTTCATGAATTTTTTTTAACACTAGAGAATGCTAATAGAAGAGAGCTCAGGATCCCTCCTTTCAGAGTACTTTGTCTTCAAAATAGGATTGAGCTAGATGCAATGTGGTGTTTTAGATCTAATCTTGGAACAGGAAAAGGCTACCAGTGGAAAAATTGGAAAAAAATAAAGAAAGTCTATAGTACGTATTTTAAGAGTCTATGGTATGTATTTAAAAGTAGAGTACCAATGTATTTTTCTAGGTAAGATATTAACATAAAGGAAAACTGGATTAAAGTATATAAAGACTCTACTATTCTTATAATAATCTAAAATTACTTCAAAATAAATTTAAAATATTCTAATAATATTGAGACAAGGATTTAAAAACTTGGATTATTTATCAACATATATACAAAAATCAGGTACATACTTACAGTCATACAGTAGCTTTCTCCACAGCACTGTTGATGTAGGTGCATCACAAATTCCAAAATCTGATAAACCTAGACTCAGTCCCCAGCTCTGTCACTGCTGACTGTGTGAATGTGACCAAGTAATTCATTCCTCTAAAGTTAGTTTTCTTAGCTGGATAGTGGGAGTGTTGATTCCTACTTACAGGATTATCATGAGGGCATATTAGAGAACATCCCAGGGCCTGCCACATCGTAAGCACTCGAGGCATTGCTTTCAGTAGTACTCTAGGAAGGTACTTTAAGAAATAAAATTGAGGGGCTGGGGATTTAGCTCAGTGGCATAAGCGCCTGCCTTGCAAGCAGGCAGTCGTGAGTTCGATCCCTGGTACCGATAAAAATGAAAAAGACAAAAAAAGAAATAAAATTGAGTTCCCATTCTTACCTTAAGTTTGTTGTTTGTTGTCACTCCTATGTTTTAAGCATAGAAGAAGCCAAGATGAGTACAGCAGAATGTAAGCAGAGATGGTGGGCAAGGACCCAGAGGTTGGCCTGAATGCCTCTGGCCTGTCTTTAATGGGGTTGTGCTCTTAAGTTAGGCCTAGGACAGGACCTGCCTTCCCTGTCCACAAACAAGGACCAGTCCTAGACCTGTACCATGATTTTCTCAAGCACATAGATGTTTCTAAGCTTTACCTTTCTCATTATGTTTATGGACTTTCTCTCTTAAGAGAATTTCAGATGTCAGGGTGCCAAAAATTAGACTGTGCTCTAATTCTTTTATTCAGTAACTATTTATTA